CCAAATGTACCACAATTCCAGAAGACTTTCAAGGATCTCAGACTACCCCCAATTCTCATCAGAAACTGAAAGAAGTAAAAGAAAAATTATTAGGAGAGGATCCATCCCTCAGATCTATCACAGAGACTAGATTTGTCATATATTCAAAATTGTAAACAACAAAGGGATGAAACTGTAGCTAATTATCACCCTCGATTGTTGCCATCGAGACAACATGAAAAGAGTATTTGGGCCTGAAACTGGCTTGCCAAACTGCCTCTGTTCTGGCCACAAGCTTTGAAAATAATCTCAGACTGGAATTCCATGACATTTTCCAGAAAACTTATATTAGCTGACACAATCCAAACATGTCTGAACTCCAGACATTAGCCCAACATTATGAAGAGTATTTTTAAAAAATTGGGGGCCGGGCGTGGTGGCTCACACTTGTAATCCCAGCACTTTGGGAGGCCAAGGTGGGTGGATCATCTGAGGTCAGGAGTTCGAGACCAGCCTGGCCAACCTGGTGAATCCCCATTTCTACCAAAAATACAAAAAATTAGCCAGGTGTGGTGGCAGATGCCTCAGGAGAATCGCTTGAACCTGGAAGGTGGAGGCTGCGATGAGCTGAGATCACACCATTGCACTCCAGCCTAGATGACAGAGCGAGACTCAGTCTCAAAAAACAAACAAACAAACAAACAAAAAACAAAACAAAACAAAAAAATTGGAAAATGCAGAATCAAGCTTATGGCATTGACATTAAAATAGTTAGAAAAACCTGAAAAATTTAATCTGTGGCAAACTCCAAAATCACATTCACATTGATTGGGACACCCACCAAAATTGTAAGGAAGAAGGACACATTGTCCAGGTTTTCCTGGACCGCAAGAGGAAGGATAAAAACCTGAGCCCCCCTCCTTAGGGGGCCCTCTGGTTACCTCATCAGAAACTTGTTGACTGTCCTCCAATGCTCTCAACTACCATTAAATTCACAAGGGAAAATTACCCTACAAGTTGAAGGGCATCACCAAAGTTTTCATCGATACCTTTGGCACCACTTCATTTTTTGCCTTCCTTCCTTGGACTCACCCAACTACCAGTGGTGGGTTTTGATAATTTACCTCACAATTTGCTGCTTTCTCAACCTTTTAACGTTTCTATGAGACCCATCAAAACTCAACACAACTTCCTTCTCATTTCTACTACCCCAGTAAAACTCTTAGGAAAGGATCTTCTTATAAATTGGAGTTTAAAAATTTATTGTACCCTTAAAGGACTTCTACAGGTCCCTGACTCCTCTCCTCCATGATTATGTCTCCTAACATTTTTTTCTGATCTGAGTTACTTTGCCCCCTTCAACCTAGAACTTACTTAACTAAAGATTTAAATAAAGTGTTAGACAGAATTCCTTCATTAGGGGCAAAAAAAAAACTCCACCAAGATTGGGCATATATTGGATGCAGAGCTCCTTAAGGTAGAAATAAATTCTTCTGTACTCCTCCCCAAGATTCCCAAATATCGTTTAAAACGAGAAGAACATGAGTGACCCTGCTCAATAATCCAAAGTTTATTTGATAAGAAAACTTCTTGTCACAACTTCTAATCCATGCAATACAACCATCTTGTCCATTAAAAAACAAAATGGAGCCAGGTGCACATCTGTAGTCCCAGTTACTTGGGACGCTAAAGCAAAAGGATTGAATGAGCCCAGGAGTTTGAGGCTGCAGTGCACTATGATCATGCCTGTGAATAGCCATCATACTCCAGCCTGGGAAATACAGCGAGACCCTGTTTCCAAAAAAAAAAAAGAAAAAGGGAAATGATATTGCTTAGTCTAAGATCTGAGATCTATCAGTAAAATGGTCAAACATAGATTTCCTTTGGTGCCTGATCCTAACACTATCCAGTTTGCTACCCTTTCTAACACCCAATATTTCATAGACATCAATTTATGTTTTGCCTTGTTGTAGTATTCCCCTTCATAAGAAATCTCAATACATGCTTGCCTTCACCTGTGAAAACCCACAATATACCTAGACCATTATGCCCCCAAAATTTACTGAGACCCTTACCTCTTTCTTGCATACCTTAAATGTCCAGTTGAGGGAGTTAAAATTCTTAGGAGACATCACTTTAGTCCAATATGTAGATGACCTCCTTCTATGTTCTGACATTTATGACAACTCCCTTTTGGACACTGATATCATCTTAAGGCCTTAGAAAGGACCACAAGGTGGCTAGAGATAAAACTCAATTATGATAATTGTGTGTGTGATACCTGGGTCATGATTTCTCAGCCATGGGCAAAACTGTCTCTGGGCCTCTACTATTTAACATTTTACTTTCCCTGAAACAAAATGACAACCAAGAGGAAATGGTAGGATGTGGACACCTAATTTCTCCATGATTGCCTCATTCCTTTATGCTATGACTAGGGAGTCTCCCCAGACCCAGTAATCTGGGATTCCCTATCCAATGATGCTTTTGAGATCCTTAAAGGCTCTCTGCTTTCACCTCTTACCCTTGGACTTCCCAAGTACTCAGCCTTTTTCCTTTTTTGGGCATGAATGAGAGGGTCATATCCTTGGAGTATGATTCCAGCAGCATAATGATCACCACTCAGTTGGGCATATTTGTACGTGTTTACTTCTTTTTTTATTCTGTGACATTGATCTACATGCCTATATCTCTACCTATATCATTCTATCTTGTTTATTATAACTATATATTTTTAAATAAAGTAGACTGATTCTTCCCATTTTATCCTTATTTTTCAAAATTCCTTCAGCTATTCTAGTTCCTTTGCCTTTCTCTACAAATTTTAGAATAATCTATATCTACAAAAAATCTTGCTGGGATTGTAACAGAAATTCCATCAAACCTGTATATCAATTTGAGGAGAATAGATATATTTTATTTGCTGAGCCAATCTATGAACATAATATGTTTCTCCATGTATTTAGATCTTTGATTTCCTTCATCAGTATTTTTTACTTTTCAGCATACAATTACTGTACATGTTTCATTAATTTACACTTAGTTATTTCACTTTTGAGTGACTATTAACTGGTATCATATTTTAATTTTAGCATCCATGTAGTCATTACTAATATATAGAAATACAATTGATTTTTGTATGTTTTCCTTGTTTCTTGCAACCCTGCTATAATCATCAGTTCTAGGAGGTTTTTGTGTGTGTGTGTGTTTTCCCAGTAATTATTTGAGATTTTCTATGTAGACAATCATGTCATCTGCAAATAGGAACCTTTTTGGTCTTTCCTCTCTGATACGTATGCCTTTTATCTTCTATTAGTGCTTTATTGCACTAACTTGAACTTCCATCACTATGTTGAAAAACATAGTGAGTGAAAAATCCTGAGGCCGGGCGCGGTGGCTCAAGCCTGTAATCCCAGCACTTTGGGAGGCCGAGACGGGCGGATCACGAGGTCAGGAGATCGAGACCATCCTGGCTAACACAGTGAAACCCCGTCTCTACTAAAAATACAAAAAAAATTAGCCGGGCAAGGTGGCGGGCGCCTGTAATCCCAGCTACTCGGGAGGCTGAGGCAGGAGAATGGCGTGAACCTGGGAGGCAGAGCTTGCAGTGAGCTGAGATCCGGCCACTGCACTCCAGCCTGGGCAACAGAGCGAGACTCCGTCTCAAAAAAAAAAAAGAAAAAGAAAAAGAAAAGAAAAATCCTACATGCTTGTCTCTTTTCTTTTTTCTTTTCCTTTTTTTTTTTTTTTTGAGACAGAGTCTTGCTCTGTCACCCAGACTGGAGTGCAATGGTACAATCTCAGCTCACTGCAACCTCTGCCTCTGGGGTTCAAGCGATTCTCCTGCCTCAGCCTCCCAAGTAGCTGGGATTACAGGCATGCACCACCACGTCTGGCTAATTTTGTATTTTTAGTAGAGACGAGGTTTCTCCATGTTGGTCAGGCTGGTCTTGAACTCCCAACCTCAGGTGATCCACCTGCCTTGGCCTCCCAAAGTGCTGGGATTACAGGCATGAGCCACCACACCCAACTAATTTTTGTATTTTTAGTAGATACGGGGTTCCACCATGTTGGTCAGGCTGGTCTCAAACTCCTGACCTCGTGATCCGCCCACCTCGGCCTCCGAAAGTGCTGGGATTACAGGCGTGAGTCACCGCGCCCAGCCCAGTTTTCTTATGTGTATTTTATATACAAGGTTCAGAGGTATTTTTTTTGCATTTAGCCAGAAGAATAGTACTTGTATTTCATCTTCTCAGAAGCAGAAACCCTGTTAGCCCTATCTTATTTTTTAACAGATATTTTGTTCATAAATCAGGAAGACGCTTCAATTTTATAAAATGCTTTTTTAGTCTCTATTGGTGTGCCTTCCTGTTTGTATCTATTAATACAGGGCTTATATAAGCAGTTTTACCTAAAACTTGTGTGGTGGATGTTATATAGTTGTCTACCCGTGTCCCAAAGCATACAGCATGGGTTATGGACTCAAGTACAGAATGCTGGCTGTGACTTTTGCAAGACTACAGGGAGTAGTGCACCTGAAAGTTTTCCACAGAAATATGTGTTTTTTGCTTCCTGATCTTTGCTTTTGTTCCAGAGAGACTAAAAATAAGTTTTTTCTTTTGAGATGGAGTTTCGCACTTGTTGCCCAGGCTTGAGTGCAATGGTGCAATCTCGGCTCACTGCAACTTCCGCCTCCCGGGTTCAAGCAATTCTCCTGCCTCAGCCTCCTGAGTAGCTAGTATTACAGGCATACACCACCATGCCTGGCTAATTTTGTATTTTTAGTAGAGATGGGGTTTCACCATGTTAGACAGGATGGTCTCCATCTCCCACCTCGGCCTCCCAAAGTGTTGGGATTACAGGCTTGAGCCACCGCGCCCGGCCAGGTTTATTTTCATTAAACTACACACCCTGTGCAGGGCCAGACAGGGATGTCTCTTTCAGTGTTGTTTAAAAGCTAATGAGGCCAGATAATTCAAAGCCATCAATGTGATAAAATTAAAGTTACTTTGGCAAGGTCATGGATTTTCAGAATCAGCTTTATTTGCCCTATGGATCTCTGAGGAAATATAACCTCCTCAGGGTGGCCTTGTGTATCTAAAACAGAACCACATTCTTTCCCTCTTTCCCCCACATACACATTCTCTTTTTATCCTTTTACCTCCTGTTCTTTTTCTCTCTGGCAATTTACCTTCATCTGACACAATATTTTTCTTGTTAATAGATTCGAGGCCTGTGTTTCTAAACTTGTTCTGATTTGTTCACCAATATGGCAATATGGATCCAGCTCTTCCAATAGTGCCTCCTAATTAAATGTGTGAAATCAAAATACACCAAAAGAACCCCCAAAGTGATTGGTGCTCAGAATGACTATTCAATAACTAGATTTGCCTGTGGGGCAGAAGCAGCACATTAATTGTGGGGCATCTAGCAATGATTAACTTTTTTGAGTTTTTGGTTTTTTTTTTCCTAGCTCTTTCCTCCTTTAACATGGTAATTAAAGCTCACTTGCCTGAGAGTAGCCCAATCTATCGACCTTTTGGTCAGTGAAGTTTTCAGAGAAAATAATACAATTATCAATCAGCAAAAGGAGGGGGGAAGATGACAAAGGGAAAAATTTAAGCGGTAGCCTCACTGGGACATTCCCTGGCTAGATGTCCGGATTCGCCACAGCGGTAGCAGTTGACCTGGCTCGCCTTGCTACAATTGATGGCCACATGACCAGTTTCGCCGCATCGGTAGCACTTGACCTGGGCGCAGTCTTTCTGAATGTGCCCAAGTTTGCCGCAAGAGTAGCATTTCTGCTCTTTCTGATGATCACAATCACAAGCCAGATGTCCTAGTCTGCCGCAGGTATAACAGTGTTGGTCTCTCTCTCGTTTAGGTTCCTTACAGTCTTTGGCGATGTGGCCGCTTCTCCCACAGTTGTAGCAGATGTTTCCGAGAAGGACACAGTTCTTAGCATGATGACCGAACTCACCGCAGCGGTAACAGGTGTAAGATAGGGTGGTGGAACTGCATTGAGAACCTCTGCCATGGCCTCCACCTCCTTGCCCTCCAGCTCCTCCTCTAGGGCATCCCCGAGTCCAATGGCCAGAGCGCCCACACGCGAAGAAATCCTTACTGCTCATGGCTGCGGTGCGATCTTCCAGTGAGCAGGCCCACCTCGGCCCCGGAGGCCCCGGCGCAACACCCCTTTGGGCGGCTTAGAAAGAAATAACGGTTTTCCGCTACGGGTCTCAGTGATGTCATACAAGGTTTGCACACGGCCCCATTCACGTGTCACAGACATTCCTGACGCCCTTCCCACCCGACTTTCCTCCTACTCAAGAAGCCAAAAGCACAATAATCTGTTAACTAAGAAGTGTTGTTTTCCGTTTTTGTTTGTTTCAACACTTGAATCATTGAGTTTGAATCCCTTCCTATTTAGAAAATTAGACTTGTAGAAGTTTTCATAATTTAGGACTTGGCCGGGTGCGGTGGCTCACGCCTGTAATCCCAGCTCTTTGGGAAGGCCAAGGCGGGTGGATCACGAGGTCAAGAGATCAAAACCATCCTGGCCAACATGGTGAAACCCCATCTCTACTAAAAATACAAAAATTAGCCGGACGTGGTGGCGCATGCCTGTAATCCCAGCTACTCAGGAGGCTGAGGCATCGCTTGAACCAGGGAGTCAGAGGTTGCAGTGAGCCGAGATGGAGCCATTGCACTCCAACCTGGGCAACAGAGTCAGACTCCATCTCAAAAAAAAAAAAAAAAAAAAAAAAAGACTTAGGCTTTCTCTCTGTGGTCTAGTATATGATCAGTTTTTATATATGCTCTATGGACATGGGAAAGAATGTGTAAGATATATGTAATCCAATAAGCAAAAGAAAGAAATTAGAGTAACTCTTTTCTTGTTTTAAAAAATAAGCGTCCATAAAGATAAGAGATACATAAGATAGAAAAATGCCACAGTGAAAAGATTTATGCATGATTTAGCCCATTTTATTGCAAGAATCTTAGCTTTCAATATAATCACCACCATTTAAGTTGTAAAACATAACAGGATTGAAGCATTTAGTATAAAGAAAGTGTTATTACTTGGAAAATAAAAACTACAAAAGCAGGCCAGGTGTGGTGGCTTACAGCTGCAATTCCAGCACTTTGAGAGGCCAAGCAAGGAGAATCGCTTGAGCCCAGGAGTTGGAGATCAGCCTGGGCAACATGGCAAAACCCCACCTCTACTGAAAACAAAACCAAAACCAAAACCAAAACCAAGATAAACATTACCTGGGAGTGGTGGCTGGTGCCTGTAGTCCCAGCTACTCGGGAAGCTGAGGTGGGAGGATCACTTGAGCGAGGAGGTCAAGGCTGTAGTGAGCCATGATTGTGCCACTGCACTCCAGCCTGGGTGACAGAGCAAGACCCTGTCTCAAAAACAAAAACAAAAACAAAACAAAACAAAACAAAAAACTACAAAAAGAAACATTTAAGTATTGGACAGATTTACTCTCTGTTGCTTTCCAAGTTGTTTGTACCTAATAAAAGTTTCACAAAGATTTATGGACATGTGGCACATTCATATAGATATAGAAATAAGTATGGGAGGTTGGGTGTGGTGGCTCACCCCTGTAATCCTAGCACTTTGGGAGGCCAAGGCAGGCAGGTCACTTGAGTTCAGGAATTCGAGACCAGCCTGGGCAACATGGCAAAACTCCGTCTCTACTAAAAGTAAAAAAAAACTAGCCGGGTGTGGTGGCTTGCACCTATAATCCCATCTACTTGGGGGGCTGAGGTGGGAAGATCCCTTGAACACAGGAGGTGGATGTTGCAGTGAACCATGATCGTGATCAGGCCACTGCACTCCAGCCTGGGCAACAGAGTGAGATCCTGTTTCAAAAAAAAAAAAAAAAAGTATGGGAAATTAACACTGAAACATCAACAGTAGCTGCTTTGGGTTATATGATTGAATATGATTTTTTTTTTCCACCTCATTTTCCTTCTCTGTATTTTTCAATTTTTGAAATGAGATTAGGTTTTGTACTTTAAAAAAATCTACAATACCCTTTTTCTTTAATAGTTTTATGCTTTGCATGTGCATTTTTTTCAGACATCCAGCACAAATGTTTTGGTAAAACATAGAATTAAGAGTAGTGAATGTAGCAATTGGCCTTTATTTATTTATTTATTTATTTTTTATTTATTTATTTTTTTTGAGACGTTGTCTCACGCTGTTGCCCAGGCTGGAGTGCAGTGGCGCGATCTCGGCTCACTGCAAGCTCCGCCTCCCGGGTTCCCGCCATTCTCCTGCCTCAGCCTCCTGAGTAGCTGGGACTACAGGCGCCCGCCACCGCGCCCGGCTAATTTTTTGTATTTTTAGTAGAGACGGGGTTTCACTGTGGTCTCGATCTCCTGACCTTGTGATCCGCCCGCCTCGGCCTCCCAAAGTGCTGGGATTACAGGCTTGAGCCACCGCGCCCGGCCTTGGCCTTTATTTTCAACATGACTTAATTGGAATGTGCAACTGCCTCCATAAATGCAAACACAAAAAAACATCTTTTCAAAAGTTAAAGTTGAGAGCCATGTAGCACGTGTAGTTGCCACATAAAGTGTATGTAGTTTAAAGAAATGAGTTTCATTCCTAAACAATGAAGTGGTGTTCCATGAATGATATCAAAGGTTAAAAATTTGATATATCTTTGTTAAATTAACCCTTTGTTGGTCTTTTTTTTTTTTTTTTCCTTTTTGTGGAGAATGGGTTGTCGGTATGTTCCCCAGGCAGGTTTCAGACTCCTGGGCTCAAGCTATCCTCCCGCCTCTGCCTCCCTAAATTCTGGGATTATAGACATGAACCACCTTGCCCAGGAAATTAACCTTATTAATTATCATGTTGAGATTCCCTTTAGGTTTATATTTTAATTAAAGCTATGCATGATTGAGACAAAATAATAAATACACTTTATGTCGCAGTAGAGAATATACATGTTTGTGTGGATCTCTTTTTTATTTAAACTTTTCTAAATTTTTAATGTTTGTGGGTATATAGTAGGTATATATACTTATGGAGTACATGAGATATTTTGGTACAGCCATGCAATGCGTAATAATCACCTCATGGAAAATTGGGTATCCATCCCCTCAAGCATTTATCCTGTGTGTTAGAAATAATCTAATTATACACTTTTTTAATGTTGAAATGTACACTTAAATTGTTATTGACTACAGTCACCCTATTGTGCTATCAAATACTAGGTTTTATTCGTTCTTTCTTTTTCTTTTTCTTTTTTTTTTTTTTTGAGACAGAGTTTCACTCTGTCACCCAGGCTGGAGTGCAGTGGTGCAATCTCGGCTCACTGCAACCTCTGCTTCCCGGGTTCAAGTAATTCTTCTGCCTCAGCCTCCGTGAGTAGCTGTGACTACAGGTGTGCACCACCACACCCGGCTAATTTTTTTTGTATTTTTAGTAGAGGCAGGGTTTCACCATGTTGGCCAGGCTGATCTTGAACTCCTGACCTCAGGGGATCCACCTGCCTCACCTCTCAAAGTGCTGGGATTACAGGCATGAGCCACCGCGCCTGGCCTATTTATTCTTTCTAGCTACTTTTTTTTTGATACCCATTGACAATCCTCACCTCCTCCCCAACCCCTCATTACCCTTCACAGCCTCTGGTAACCATCCCTCTACTCTCTATCTCCATGAGTTCAGTTATTTGATTTTTAGATCCCACAAAAAAAGTGAGAATATGCAATGTTTGTCTTTTCTGTGTCTGGCTTATTTCACTTAACATAATGACATCCAGTTCCATCCATGTTGTCAGAAATGACAGAATCTCATTCGTGTTTATGGCTAAATCTTACTCCATTGTGTATAAGTACAACACTTTCTCTATCCATTCTTCTGCTGATAGACACTTAGCTTGCTTCCAAATCCTGGCTATTGCGAACAGTGCTGCAACAAACATGGGAGTGCAGACATCTCCTCGGTATACTGATTTCCTTTCTTTCGGGTATACAATACAGCAGTGGGATTGCCGGATCATATGCTAGCTCTATTTTTAATTTTTCAAGGAACCTCTGAACTGTTCTCCACAGCGGTTTTACTAACTTACATGCTCACCAACAGTGTACAGGGGTTTCCTTTCCTCCACACCCTTGCCAGCATTTATTATTATCTGACTTTTGGATAAAACCCATTTTATCTGGGGTAAGATGATATCTAATTGTATCTTTGATTTGCATTTCTCTGATGATCAATGATATTGAGCACATTTTCATATGCCTGTTGGACATTTGTATGCTTTCTTTTGAGAAATGTCCATACAAAATTTTTGCCTATTTAAAAAAATTGGATTATTAGGTTTCTTCCTACACACTTGTTTAAGCTCTTTGTATATTCTGGTTATCAATCCCTTGTCAGAGGGGTGGTTTGCAAGTATTTACTCCCCTTTGGTGGGTTGTCTCTTCACTTTGTTGATTGTTTCTTTTGCTGTGCAGAAGCTTTAGAACTTGGTGTAATCCCATTTGTCCATTTTTGCTTTGGTTGTCTGTGCTTGTGGGATATTACTCAAGAAATTTTTGCCCAGACCAGTGTCCTGGAGTTTCCCCAACGTTTTCTTGTAGTAGTTTCATAGTTTGCAGTCTTAAATTTAAGTCTTTAATCCATTTTGATTTGATTTGTGTATATGGCAAGAGATAGGGGTCTAGTTTCTTCCTGCATATGAATATCCAGTTTTCCCAGTACCATTTATTGAACAGACTGTCTTTTCCTCAATGTATGTTCTTGGTAACTTTGTTAAAAATGAATTCACTGTAGGTATGTGGATTTCTTTCTGGGTTCTCTGTTCTGTTCCATTGGTCTATGTGTCTGTTTTTATGCCAGTACCATGCTCTTTTGGCTGCTATAGTTCTGTGGTATAATATGAAGTCAGGTAATTTGATTCCTCTAGTTTTGTTCTTTTTACTCAGGATAGCTTTGGCTATTCTGAGTCTTTTGTAGTTACATATACATTTTAGAATTGCTTTTTTTCCACTTCTGTGAAGGATGTCACTGGTATTTTGATAGGAATTACATTGAATTTGTATATTGTTTTGGGTAGTATGAACATTTTAACAATATTGATTCTTCCAATCCATGAACATGGAATATCTTTCCATTTTTGTTTGTCCTCTTCAATTTCTTTCATTGGTGTTTTATAGTTTTTATTGTAGAGAACGCACTTC